AGCGGGAACACTCACAAAACTTCCGTACTGGTAGTGTCCGTTCCTAGCGATGCGCTCAGCGTGCCGCGACGGATTCGCAACCGCCCAACGATTCTTTACGGAACGGAGCCCACACCCTAAAATTAAATTAACAGAAGCTGTTCCTGCATTAAGCGCACTTCTGGGTAGGCGGTAACTTGATCGGCAGGCGTCCGAGCGGGCTTATATTTGACCCAGCCCGCAGAATCCATCCCAGTTTAGCCTCCGCGTTCGTAGCGTCAGAACCAACGCAGTTGTTTTGGAAAGAGTATCCGCTTTGCCGCTTTTTATTTTTGCCATTTCACTGCGGAGGGAATGGACAGCTGCTCGCAGAGAGGCTGTTTGGCGCTGGCCGATATGAAGAGGCCCTCGGGGGGGGGAACCAGAGGCCCAGATCCATCCTCCTGCCTCTGTCATTCTCACTCTCACGCATCTTCCTCGCCAGGCCTCCTCGCAGTGATGCGATCGAGTGAAATTGTCCGGCACTGGGCGTGCGGCGCAACGTGGATTATCCCCGTTCCCAGGAATGAGCGACGGAAACGTTCGCCAGCAAAGTGTTTTTATTTTTGTGAGCCAATAATGGTGTGACGACGATAGAGGGGTGAGGTGAGGGAGGGAGTAGAGGGGGGTGGTTAGGGAGGGAGATAGAGGGGGTGGTGAGGGAGGGAGTAGAGGGGGGGTGGTGAGGGAGGGATATAGATAGAGGGGGAGGAAGAGGTGAACAGGAACGGAGAGGGTTTGGGAGAGAGTGAAAGGGCGTGAAACGAAGTGGCAAGAGAGGGAGAGAGAGAGAGAGCGTAATGGGAAATGGAGTGAGCGATAGAAAGTGACAAGTGGGAGAGAGAGTATTTAGGGAGAGGCGAGAGAGATTGAGCCAGGAAAGGGAGAGTCTGGAATAGGGAGAGCGATGGGTGTTATGAGAGAAGAGAGAGAGACAGGGAGAGAGACAGGGGGAGAGAAGTGAGTGAGATGCAGTGGACGAAGGTCGTTGTACATTCGTTGGTGGCCGAGCTGAGATCATTTGCTACACCTGAGAAGCCAGTTTAATTACAGGTGGCTGCCTGCATCAGAACCCAATGACCTTGGCAGTGCCACCACGTGTCACCGAGCCCTTTAATCTACCGAGATGCATCTTAATAGTTCTTTGAAGCGGCAACATGCTCTCGCTGTCCATCCACTCATCCGATCCGTTAATCTCCGAGATCCTTGGTGGCTCTGCCAGCGTGTTAGTGGCAGCATAAAGCATGCGTGTGCACGCCAGCATGGGCATGCGCTCTCACTCGCAGGCGCTCATCATCCACATGCAAAGAAAAGGGCAGATTGCTTTCCACACGACAACATCAACCGCAGCTGTCATTCGCCACTGGGTGGTGGTGACATCTCCACAGTGCTTGTGCTCGGCCAGATTGCACTTTGACGCCACGTGAGGTGTGTGGAAGAAGGCTCACTGGCAGGAGGGTCATGGGACAGAGCCAGTTGTTGTGGGCTAACTGACTGAGATGACTGACAGATGCACCCACCTGTTCGCCCGGCTGTGCCCACTCGCCGCATGTGAGCTGCCCAGCGTAGCTCCTCTGACCTCCGTCATTGTTAAAGGGCAACTGCCCCCAGTAGTGTCCTTCGCGAGCCTCAACCACAGAGGCCGATCTTGACACCGCTGGTGCCGGTGATCGGCACGTCCACTCAGATCCACATCCCCCTGTACGGCATCAGCTCTATCTCTTCTCTATCCCATGCCGTGCCTGTTTAGCCCCCTCTATCCGTCCAAACAGAAGCTGCATAGGCATGTGGTGGCTGGGAATGCGGGCAACGTGACCCGGCCAATGCAGCCTCGCCTGCCGGAGGAGCTCACTGTTGGAACTGTTTTCAGATCCTTCAAGGGTCGGTGAGCTCCTCACACAATCCGTCCCGGTTAAACCCCAGATGGATCGTAGACGGGCCTCCCTAAATGTTTTAACCGGCGCATATGTTCCATTTAAAGGGTCCTTGTTACCCGAACATTGAGACACAGCTGTGTCCGGGAAGGGCCACAGCAGTTGTGTGGAGTGATAGGCAAGGTAGCTTTCCGCACAGCTAAACACAGCAGATGGCAAGATAATGCCGCTTGACCGAGTGAGCAGCAATTACCAGATCAACAGCGAAAAATAAGGTTTGACCAACAGGGAGCTATCCGTTGACCACATCTAGACCTCGATCAGCCGTTGTATCTGTACAAGATGGAAATTATTCTGGTATAGCGATGTAAATGTCTGCAATTACGCGAAACTTCCCTTGCTTTCCCATACAAATACAAAGACAAAGATCGACCTCATAGCCTTGAACAGTCTCTTGGGACAAGTGCCTTTGGGCACCTATGTAGGCCGCCACATTCGCTGTGCGTCCGCACGCGTTGATCTGCATTCCACAGTGAAACCAACATATCGGGTTGGTGCAAGCGCAAGGTTTAGAGTGACATGCGACCGTTTTGTTACAAAATCATCAACGTGTAAATGTAAAGTCACAAATACACCGAGGGCAATAATAGAGACATGATTTACGATTGGAGTTTGCGTGTTTTTCTCCCCGTGGTCACGTGGATTTTATCTCTGGGTCCTCCGGGTTTTCCCTCCACATTTATAAGCGCGCGTTTAGAGTATTTGGCTATATAGCTTACCCGGTAAATTTTTATAGTTTTAGATCAGTATTGAAAAATCAAAGTAACAAAAATTTGATTTAATGGACATGCAAACATTCTCTCTATCTCGCATCAACCATTCGCACATTCAACTATTCACGAGTGTCATGTTTTATTTAAGTGTGAGCTAAATCAATAATAAAAGAAACATCAATATCACAAAACGTGGAGTCAAGTTGACGAGAGGTAGCCTGGCGGATCGGTGCGTTGAGAGCCACGGACACGAACGTCAAATACACAAATCCGAGCAGCCACGCGTGATTTTGTTTTGTTGCAAATCGTGACTAAGGATTGCCACCCCACGTGCCCCTGTGGGGGGCACTGACGGAGATCGCGGCGACTTTAGAGGAAGTTTTTGGGCGATTCTCACACTCAGCGTGGTGCCACTGCTAGCTCCCGTTTTCAGTGCGGAAATATATTCACTTTATGACATGATGCCGAATCGACTGTAATAATAATACGGTCGTTTGGAGATCAATTAATTGGATGCGTGGCATAATGTGTGTCATATTTGCGTATTGAGGGGATGTTATAATTATTGCTTTTAAAAAGGTGAGGATTACATTGCACAGACAGCATTCGTGTTGTCGTACTGTATCGATTGAGCCTTTAACAGTTATAGCATGGGTGGGGAACCTTTGTTCTGCCAAGGGCCATTTGGATATTTACAACATCATTCGCGGGCCATACAAAATTATCCACTTAAAAATTAGCCCGTTATATTTATATTTTTTTCTAGACTTGAAGCTTTCGTGACTGCAAGGAATCATATTCTTAGGTGTTTTCGGTAAAGTCACGTAGGTAAAACATCAAAATTAATAAAAATAATAATGTGATGGTTGGAAGTGCTTCTTTTTGGTGCGGCGTGTGATGTTAGCTGGTATTGATGACGTTGCTACTCGCAACTGCTTTTCCAGGTTTGCTCCTAGATTTATTGAATTTCGAGTCCCGCCTGCGGTTGCCTTGGCAGGGCCACACCAAATGATTTCGCGGGCCTCATACGGCCCGCGGGCCGGACGTTCCCCACTCCTGTGTTAAAGCCTCAGTGTGCCTGTATGGCTGTGTGCATGCAAATGCGTATAATTTACAACATTGATATTCAACTATTCTGCGGAAAGATAATTTTCCCACAGCAGCGTTCACAAAACGCGGTGTCTCCCCGCCGTCAATTTTTTGCTGCGGGAGTTTTTCTCGCACTCACTTGGCACGACCATTTATCAGAGCCAGACCGTCCGATTACTTAATTAATCGTTGACTCTGCTCGTTGTCGATTCAGTTACTCGATGACTCTGATAACACGAAAAGAGCTGGGGAATTAGTCTCACCTCTGTCCCCACGTGCGCCGCTGGACAGGAGGTGAAGGGGTGGAGCCTGGTGATGTCATCAGAATGATCAGCCGCGTCACACCTGGGTGTGGCTTGCAGGGGGGTTTCCCTCCTTCAGGATGTGGGAGCCGCCAACATTTTTTGTTAAGGGGGTGCCTGAGTGGTTGAGGTGCTTGAGTGGTTGAGTTGATTAATCGATTACTCGACTAATCGTTCAACCTCGAACTGTCTTTGTTGTGTTTTCCATTTTCAAAGTCATTTCTGGACAATATGGGCCAAAACACACCCCCACCATGGGCAATTTGCCCTACTGGAGATGGAGATTATCAGCAGGCTTTCGCGAAAACATCTTTCAAATGGGGCACATTTGCCCCACGTGGGATTTGGGTCTGTTCCTTCCTTTTCATGGGCACAGCTTAGAAAACAATTCGAACTTCAACAAATTATCATCGGTGCTGCAGAGCTTGTGGCGCATCTTCCTCGCCACGTAACGCCCGACATTTCAGTTCAGAATTGAACGAAAGCGATCGCATTTTGGAGCCGTTATTGTATCAGCAGCTTGAGACCAGGTTGGCAACACATATTTAAATTCTTTATATTAAGTTTGCTTGCTTGCTTGCTTGCGTGCTTGCTTGCTTGCTTACGACCGTGCAAACCTTTCGGTCGTTTTTTAACCCACTTCCCGTGATCCAATCGAGCTGACATTTTGCACACAGACTCGTTGTGCGAGACAATTAATGTTCGTGAAAATTTTTTTCCAAAATTTTACACTGTTTAGGGAAATCAAATTAAATATTTAATTACCAATTGTTTAATACTGCAGACAATCATCTGACCCATAGGTGGCAGCCATCTCAAGCCAGAGGACGAGATGACTCTAGCCGCCACGCATATAAAGGATTTATAGTGAAAAACTTAGTTTTTACGGGTTATACTTGTTTCCGCGTCTCATTTTCTCCGTTTCTCTCTCATTCCTCCTCCAGCCATTCCCCAGCCGCCCGCGCCTCCCATGCCAGCCCAGAACGTCGTGCAGCAGCCTCAAAGTGGCCCCGTACCGAGCCTGCACGCAATGAACACGGCCGCGTGTGGCCTGGTATCACCACAACAGCAGCAGCAGCAACAGCAGCAGCAGCAACAGCAGCAGCAACAGCAGCAGCAGCAGAAGCTACAACTGCGGAGGGTGTTGATGGAAAAGGAGAAGCTGTGGCATCGTCACCAAGAACTCATGCAGCAGGTAAACGACTCACAGAGCCCTCATCTCTCCCTCCTCCCCTTCCTCCCCCTCCTCCTCCCCCTCCTCCTCCTTCTCCTCCTCCTCCCCCTCCTCCTCCTCCTCCACCTCCTCCCCCTGCCGTACAGCGCGGTCGGGGAAACCCACGCACCGTTGTGCAATGGGTAATTGGAATAAAGAATGGGATAAACCAATTGACGGATAATCGGGTCACGGATAAACGGAGCCTGACCTGTAGTTAGGTATCTATATTAAAATGCACTCCGTACATTAAATGCGTGGTTCTACATGTAACAGCCCTGTGCAAATCTACTGCTCGACGAGGGTACCACCACACCGGTCAATGGGAGTTGGTGAAAGGAGCATTGAAGTACAGCACAACAATGGACATTATTGCTGCACTGCCTCGCCACTGCCCAGAACGTAGCACCCCTCCATATAGTCTGAGACGCCTGTTGTGCATGGAGGTCGCCTGCTCAGGCCTCAAGCTTGCTGAGATTTCCGAGCTAAATTTGATTTTACAGTGTGTCAATTAAAAAAAATCATGGAGATTGAGAGCATTTGCACAACAATTCGCACTCCATCAACAAATGTCATTTTTTTGCGTAAATTTCGACGACTAAAAACGCATTCCCGTCCCAGCCTTTTCCTCCGTTGCCTGAACCCGCACGCGAGGTTACCTAAACGGGGCCCCCGCGGTGTTCAGGCTGAAGCGTGCCTCCCACAAAGGCTCCCCTTTGTGCCACGAGAAGGCACACACACCCGCGCATGCTCGGGCAGGTGTAGAGTAGCTTCTGGTGCTGCCTTTGCTATGCACAGGACGGTGGCTCTCAAGCTGTTTTGGTATGGCCCCCCAACCTCCCCTCCACCCGTGCCCCACCGCGCTAATCAGAGGCGCGGGGGAAGGACAACAAAACTAAACCCAACAAGCAGTTCCAAAGAAATTAGTTTTAAATCTAGAAATGTGTTTTCAATCTAGGATGTGGTGGCGGTGTTGGCTGCGGTAGTGATGGTGGTGGTTTCCTGATGTTGGTGGTGTGGGTATGTTGAACTTCTTTCACACCGTATGTAGCCAACCATGCTAATCGGAGGGGCTCAAGAACACTCATCTCCACATCACCCGCTCCGTCACCTCCCTCCCCACTTCATGGCCAGCCTCAAAAACGCACATTATTCGATTATGCTACGAATAATAGTAATAACGATGCAATTGATAACGCACACGGTATTTCACAGACATGAATGACAGTGACTCTGAAGTGCCGAGTGAAGCTCAGTGTCGCTCGAAAGCCAGGCGAGAGAGGAGGTGGGGCCGCAGTGGCTAGGAGATGTTAACTCCCTCGCCTGGTGTGCAGGACGTCGTGGATTCGATCCTGACCCTGACGCATGCTGCTGTATATTTGGAATTTGCATGTTCTCCCCATGGTCACGTGGATTTTTTCCCCGGGTCCTCCGGTTTCTCTCTCCACATTTAGAATCAACGTTGCGTTTCGAGTATTCGGCTGCTAAAAATGTCCACACGATGGGCCACTTCGCTGGGCTGTCTTTCGTGGCCCAGGTCGCTTCTAAAGAAGAGCTCTATAGCTCAGTGGGCCTTACCTGGTAAAATTAAATTAGTTTAGTAGTTTACAATTGCTTAGTCTCTTAAAAGTCGGTGTAGATTGAACGCTGCTGCTGCTACTGCGACAGCAGCAGCAGCAAGATGATTGGGTTACAAAACGGCGCGGGCTGCCACGGAAAAAAATAAACCGACGTCCAGCAGTGGCCGACGGTCCTGCTCCGTGTCGTAGTGAGGCAGAGGTTTGTGAGTTGCTCTGCTGTTACGGAGAGTTCTCGACCGCGAGCAGCTGTAGTGCAGGGTGGCGGGAGAGCGAAGGAAGAGGGATAGGAATGGACGAGAAGAGAGACGAGGTTTTGCGGAGGTGCAGAAGTGCAAACAACAAAGAAGCTTGCTCGAGACATTCGTCAACAACAATGTGGCCTTTCAGGGAAGGGACCTCATTCAAAGCACATAATTAGAGGGGCCAGACATCTAGAATGGTCATCTACAGTGGATAATAGACTGCAATTTACACTACGGAACCTGAGAAAAAAATTACATTTTCAAAATGTTTCCGGATGAACAGTGTTTTTTTATTGACGTATAAATAGTTAACATTATCACCTGCACGGTATCCATGCCACAGCTTGCTCTGCCCAGCCCCCAACCTTCAGTTAAAACTACTGGCGTAGCAGCTCACAAACAGATGTGTTTTATTCTCTCAGTCCATTGCTCCGGTGGAGTTACGGCACGAAGTTGGTTCGACACTTTTTTGGTCTTTTAGGCCTCGTCTCTCGATCGCGACGACGATAAGTTGCGAGATGCAGAAATATTGCATTTTTCTCCAAGTTTTGCGTTAAAAAAATGTACAGTGCGCGACAGAAAATAAAAAACGTTAGACGGACACTGGCCACTCATTCCACATTCCTGAGTGTGCATGTAAGCTGTCGTGGTGGTCGCTGGCGTGGGTTTGTTGCAGAGGGGGAATTGCAAAGGGGCACTTTTTTTGGCTTCAAGCGCTCAGATTTCGCCCCCTGCCCTCCCCGCCGGTTGCAGCAAGGTTCAGGGTCATAGTTGTTGTGGTGGCGGGAAAATAAAGCCCACAAATATTAACCCCCGCGTTTAGTTCAGTTTTGAACAACCGGTGTTACATTATCCGTCATTTCAATTTTCAGTTTAATTTATGAGGTATAGCCCTACGAGCCATGCGGCTCTTGACTCGGGTGCAACCGCAACAAACAGAAACATGAACAAGAAACATATTAAGTGACTACACGCAACAGACAAATCCAGGAAAAAACAGCAAAGTCTTCCAGAAAAAACACCGCATTTCAACGCTGTGTGCAAAAATCCCAGTGGGATGCAAGTCAAACAATAACAACCATAAGACAATGTAGATTAAAGTTATCAGGCTGACTCTGTACTACAACAAACAAACATTGCTAGACCAAACCGTTTTAAAAATCACCAAAATAAAGCTATAAAAACAATGTAACAACAATGATCATAGGAACTGTGATTCTGTCCACTGGAGGACCGTGCAGGTGATGGAGATTTTTTTTATTTATAAACAGGCACATGTTGTGAATCCACTGCTGGATGACGGCCTAGTTACGAGACCAGCCATGGGGGATTGACTTCCTTGACGTCGACACATTGCCACCGGCACGCGTACGCATACTGATGCTCACACATGGCTTCCCTGTACGCGTGCACGCGTTCGCTTGCTCTACATCTTAAAATGCCACGCAAATAGGGGGGGGGGGGGGGTGTGGGGGAGGTGGGGGGATATGCGCGTCGAGGGGAAAATACATTTTGTTTCAATAATAATCATTATAAATGTTAAAATCGTTAATTTTACCCAGGAAAGGCTCAGGAAAAAAAAACGTGAAGGACATATCGAGTTTTTGAGGAGAGTCCTTGCACTGATGTGGACAAGTCGCAGCCATTTGTCGGTCAATTGGTGGATGAAGGCCTCTGCAGCACGCTGGTGAAGGTGGGGGGTGAACATAGATGTACTTGAAGAGCAGTACAACAATGGATTCTTATGCACTGGTCCCTGCTGTCGAGCATGTCATCCCCACAGCCTGTGACAGCCTGTCCGTGCACAGTGGTGGTCACCCGTCCAAGCACCGTCCAGGCTCAACCCTGCTTAGCTTCCGCGATCCGGCGAGGTTCGGTGCGATGCGCAATTTGGCACGTGGAGGGGGGGGGGGTGTCTTCCTGCGCAAGCGAGCGTGGGCCAGTGTTCACCGCTGTTTACTTCCCACTAGCCGCGGTGCGCGCTTTGAACGAGCCCTGCAGGAGGGCGACGAACCGAGTCGGGATTTGAACCCGCGGTGTTCCGATCGTGAGTCAAGCGCCGAACCGTGACGTCCCACGTATTGCGCCACGGTGGTAGCGAGATGTTAACTACCTCGCCTGGTACGCAGGAGGTCGTGGGTTGCATCACAACCCTGACGCCTGCTGCTGTATATTTGTTGTTTGCACGTCTCCCTGTGGCCGCGTGGATTATTGTCCGGGGCCTCCGGTTTTTCCCTCCACATTTAGAATCGACGCATGTTCAGAGCATTTGGTTGCTAAACATTTCCACGTGATGAACTACTTAGTTGAGCTATCATTTGTGACCAGGTCTCTTCTGACAAAGAGCTATATAGCTCAGTGGGCCTTACCTGATACAATAAAAAAAATCGCTAAAACATGGATGTTACCCTGAACTTTTTTTGGCACCGTACGTAGCCGACGATGCTCATCGGAGGTGCAGATGACGTTCCTGGAGACGTCGCTGCAGAGCTCAGTATAGTCATCACAATCATCATCGTCGCTAGAGTCATCAATAATTGCATCACCATCAGTATCATCAGCGTCACCATCATCATCATTATCACCGCCATGATCATGAGCGGCAACAGGTACTGATGTTGACCATGATGATTGACGGCGATGTCAATGACGATGCTTCCATTGCTGCTGCTGATGGACACGACGATGACAATTCTTCTGCTGCTGTACTGCTGCCGTTATTGACGATCATCGTCATCGTCGTCACAATCACGGCGATGACGCGTTGTCATCCGGTTGTACCACACACGCAGCGGCAGCCGGTAGAAAACCCCGAGCGCTGTCGGAGAACGACGGAGTCACCGATGAAGAACCTACGCCTGACCCCCCCCCCCCCCCGCTCCCACCGTGTCTGCAGGAGCTGATGATTCGCGAGGGGGTTCAGCCGATGGCGCAGATGCCCACCAACCCCACGCACAGCCCGGACCCGAGACCTCTTCCCAGCAGCACCTCGGACCCATTCCTCTCCAGGTGACCCTCCTCATCATCATCGTCATCGTCGTCGTCGTCGTCGTCAGAATCGGGGTTCTATATTTTAGACTGTTTCACAGATGTCCAGCCTGGGCACACGGGGTCAGCAAGGTTACAGCAAATAGAGAAAAGGGTAACCATGTAACGAAATAACTAAATAAGCGTTTAATTATCGAGCTTGGGCAAGGAATAGAAAAAAACTAAACAGTCCCAGACCACACCAAGACCACACGCAGTCCCTCAATGTTAATGGCACATTAACACTGAACTATCGATACACGGGTAAGGATCAAATTACAAATCGCATTTGCAAATGTGATTGCTGCATCCGGCACTAATCTTCTGCTTGAGGATATAATGATCGTCGTTTAACATTTATAAACCGCTCCGACGACGGAGTACATCTTGAGCAGCCAGAGCAAACCCAGCGTTTGAGATAATTTCTTCCACGTGAAGGGTTTGCAGGCCCAAGTGGTACGTTCCGAAACAACGTGAGATAGACAATCCGCACAACAAACAAGAGAACAACATCGACAAGCGAAGACACGATTGGGTCTCCGCTCGTCATTGGCACCGATCCGTCGGAGTTATTGCACGCCACGTTAAAATAACGTCCTGCATTTTTCTTCTTGGTTCTTTCGGTAAAGTCACGTAGAATGGAAATAATAAAATAAAAAAAATAAAACATAATAAAAGAAGAAAAAAAATATTTAATTATTTTATTATGTTTAACACGTAGGCTTTCGCGACCAATGTTATTCATAATCAACGTTTTTGGGTTTAGATCGCGTTATTTATAAATATGTCGTAACTGTTTGGCCGTGTCGGGTGGTGGAGGGTTACGACACATTTATAAATAACGCGATCTAAACCCAAAAACGTTGATTATGAATATTTTATTATGTTTTATTTTTGTAATTTTTAGTTATTTTATTATTTGCCTTCTACGTGACTTTACCGAAAGAACCAAGAAGATGAATCCCTGCAGTCACGTAAGCTTTAAATCGAAATTTGTCCTGCATTTTGTCCTAAATTTATCAACTCTGGGCGCATTAATTACAATTGCTGGGTAAGCTGTTCCACGACTTTGGTGCCAAAAGCACCAAATGGCATTATCCTTCATTTCATCGGACGTACCTTTAACAACAACAACAAAACACTCCTCCATCACTCGGGTTTCTGTCAAGGGCTGACTGCACAATGCCCGTCAGCCCCTTTCCATACTTAACAGTGGTTCAAGTGGCACTGACGGTTTACTTGTTAAAGGGGGTGCCACAAATATTGGAATATTACGGTGTCGTAACGTATAAGATCTAAAGGTAAACCTGGCATCTGAGTTGATAAATATTGTTGTTGCTGTGATTATCGGAATTATTTTATTCCCTTGAAATGTTCATGAAATTCGAAGTGGATAATTACATTTGTAAAAAAAGAAAAGCTATGATCCATTACATTAGTACTTTGCGAAATGTTTTTTGGAGCAATTGACATCATTTCGTAGCTCAAGGAATTGAATTTTCAGTGTGGCTGACAACCTGTTATTTGTTAAATGCGTGATAGACTGTCATGATTAGAATGGTTTGTAATTGGTAAACGGCAGTTGGAGAACCTTTTGAGTGATCATTGAATAACATTGTGTTTGTACAGCATTAACTGTGGTGTGTGTACAAACCTTTAGTGTGTGTGTGTACAAGTCTCTGTGTGTGTACAAATCTGTGTGTGTGTGTACACAAGCTCGCTGACCCAGAGGGCACAACGCACCAAGATGTGATGGCATTACCTCGGCCAGTTAGCCCACAGCGTGTGAATCTCGACTGTGACCTGCCATTGCTGTTTCACATCGCCTTAAACAGCACCCTGCCTGGCACAAGCGGCTGTGACACCGTCATTTTGTGACAAATGGCGGTTGAAGTTGTTGTTAGCTTGAGAAATTAGTGGAAGGCCCCTTAAACATACATGTAAATTATGATTAATATTGTGTTTGTGTGTACACGGTACATGTATTTGCGAGTGAGTGTTCGTCTCTGCCTTTGTGTATGACCATCTTCTCAGTGTCTCTGGCACAGCATTTCGCCCTTTGGGCCACCTGGATACTTTTAGCATGCTTGTGCGTGTGTCCATACACTGTGTGTGTGTGTCCATGCACTGTGTGTGTGTCTCCTAACACTGTGTGTGTGTCTCCTAACACTGTGTGTGTGTCTCTTAACACTGTGTGTGTGTCTCCTAACACTGTGTGTGTGTCTCCTAACACTGTGTGTGTGTCCATGCACTGTGTGTGTGTCCATGCACTGTGTGTGTCTCCTAACACTGTGTGTGTGTCTCCTAACACTGTGTGTGTGTCTTCTAACACTGTGTGTGTGTCCATACACTGTGTGTGTGTCCATACACGGCCAACACCAGTGACGATTATCTGAACCGGTCTTGGGCCTCTCTTAAGTCGACTTCAGTCTCAAATGAGTACCTGGTGCGATGTGTAAACGCCACGAGGGAGACAAAGGCGGCCGGGCGTGGTGTTGGCCACATGTGTGTGGTTGTGTGTGTGTGTAGTGGGGATCTTTGTCTTTGTAGCGGTTAGTGCACTGCGCTACAAACCTGGCTACCCGGGTTCGATCCCTGCTCACGGCCAACACCAGTGACGATAATTATCTGAACCGGTCATGGGCCTCCCCTAGGTCGCCTCAAATGAATACCTGGTGTAGTGTGTAAACATCGCTACTGGGGAGACAAAGGCGGCCGGGCGTGGTGCTGGCCTTCATAGGTGCTCGCTAACAGCGGTTGCCCCACATGTCTGTTAAGGCTACACGGGGGGATATTTGTCTTCGTCTTATGTTAGCGAGTGGGAAGTATTAGTACAACGGTTTGCGTGCTACGCGATGAACCCCACGACCCAAGTTCGATTCCCGCTCACGGCCACCACCAGTGACGATTTTCTGAACCGGGCCTCTCCTAGGTCGACTCAGCCGTAAACGAGCACCTGGCGCAGTGTCTTTCACAGATGGCGATATGTTTCACAGATGGTTCTGTTCTGCCAGTAGGGATAAATATCGCAAAATAGATTCCCAATCGAGTAATTTGCGAACAATCTTTATTAAAAAAATTTGGACCGTGACACCGACAACGCACCATCACGGCCTACTCTTCGTGTGCATTGCGCCGGGGGAACTTCATCACTGTGAAGCAGACGGGGCCGTAATTACACAGCTCATACCCTCCGCATCACCACCACCGCCACCGCAGCGATAAGCACGGTGGCCTGCTCGTTTCGAACCTCTCCAACAAGGCGCAAACTCCCGCTCGGCCGTGATGTCACGTCCCGACAACCCCCCTCCGGGACGTTTGCGAAAAAGAGCTTTCTTTACTCTTTGGTTCTTTCGGTAAAGTCACGTAGGTATAAAATAAAATAAATCACGACGTTTCGAGCGCAACACAAGCGGTCGTCCTCAGGCGGTGGAGCAGCAGTTCCACTGCTGGATTATATTTTTTCCGCTCGTGTTGCGATCGAAACGTCGCGATGTATTTTATTTTATACCAACGTGACTTTACCGAAAGAACCAAAGAGTATAGATTCCTGCGGTAACGAAAGCTTCTAATCAAGAGCTTCCTAGCTCATCGGATTTCCTCCGGTATAAATAGACACCGCGATCCTGCTTCTAACCGTCCGAATTTGTGATTTCAGCAGTGGGCCGTTCCACTCGCGGGAGGCGAGCGCCGACAGCGGCCTGGGCATGGGCAACTACAGCCTCTCGCGCACGCCGGAGGAGCTGCTCAGCAGCCTGGATGAGATGGACACAGGTGAGGAGCACGCGGTACTGCCCGTCGCTACCCGTCACCGCCAGCAGCGTCGTCACCTGCGATTGCGACGCCGACAACGAACATCGTTGTGATCGTAGTCGTCGTTGGCAGCGGCGGACGCGTTGTCATCGTCGTATTCATCGTTTATCGTCGTCACCGTCTTTGTCGGCAGCAGCAGCAGCAGCAATGGAAGCATCGTCATTGACATCGATATTATTGAGTTCTTGGTTAATTCGGTAAAGTCACGGTAAAGTCACCAGTAAAGTCATCGGTAAAATCATCGTCATCACCGTCTTTGTCGTCAGCAGCAGCAGCAGCAGCCATGGAAGCATCGTCATTGACATCGATATTATTGACTTCTTGGTTAATTCGGTAAAGTCATCGGTAAAGTCATCGGTAAAGTCATCGGTAAAATCATCGTCATCACCGTCTTTGTCGTCGGCAGCAGCAGCAGCAGCCATGGAAGCATCGTCATTGACATCGATATTATTGAGTTCTTGGTTAATTCGGTAAAGTCATCGTCGTCACCGTCTTTGTCGTCAGCAGCAGCAGCAATGGAAGCATCGTCATTGACATCGACATTATTGACTTCTTGGTTAATTCGGTAAAGTCACGGTAAAGTCACCGGTAAAGTCATCGGTAAAGTCATCGTCGTCACCGTCTTTGTCGTCAGCAGCAGCAGCAGCAATGGAAGCATCGTCATTGACATCGACATTATTGAAAACTTCTTGGTTATTTCGGTAAAGTCACGTAGAAGGGAAAAAAATATACGCTGCCAAGCTTGGTGGTGTTCATTCAGACGCTGTCTTTCCGACAGACCTGTTTTTCACCTGAGGACGGCTGCTTGCGTTGTGGCGGAAACCTCGTGAGAATAATATTTTATTATTATTTTATTATTTCCCTTCTACGTGACTTTACCGAAATAACCAAGAAGATGAATCCCTGCAGTCACGAAAGCTTTAAATCGAAAATTATTGACAACGTCAACATCAGTGCTTGTTGCCGCTCATGATCATGGACGTGGTGATGATGATGATGGCGACGCTGATTATGATGATGGTGACGAAATTATTGATGACTAGCGGTGATGATGATGACTCTTGTCGCTGCTGATGATGTTGCCACTGGTGACATGTATGATAATGATTTTGATGATGATGATGATACTGCTGGTGACACAATTGTGTGACTCTTTGTGCTGCTGATAATGATGTTGATGTTAATTACGAATGATTGTGATTTTGATGATGATGACGACAATTATAATACTCCTGGTGACACTGCTTATGTTGATGATGATGATGATGATGACGATAAATTCCGCTGTTGACAAAAACGATGGTAATCATAACGACAATTCTCCCGGTGACACTGATGATGATGATGATGATCTAACTGTTAACACGGACGATGACGATGTTGCCCTATCTGTAGGTGCGGCTCCTGTCCCATGTCCTGGCAGCCACTTTGGCGCTCCCACCATGGGCCAGCCGACAGCCGGCAATCCGGCTCCGTGTGCTGTGAGCAGCCAGCAGTCCATGGCCACTCCGTGTGCCATGCCCTCTCAGCAGTCCATGTCGGGACCGTGTTCTATGTCTGCTCACCACCCATCCAGTGGTGAGACAATTAAACGATGCCATGCACGTGTGACTTTGTCTATGTCTGTACATGTAGCAGTATGGGGAGCTGTAGTGTAGCGGTAAGTGCGCTGTGCTACGAACCCGGCGACCCGGGTTCGATTCCTGCTCACGGCCAACACCCGTGACGATAATCTGAACCGGTCCTGGGCTTCCCATAGGTCGACTCAGCCTCAAATGAGTGCCTGGTGCGGTGTGTAAAACTCGCCACTGGGGAGACAAAGGAGGCTGGGCGTGATGCTGGTCACCCACCCCCTCGTGTACCGCGCTGGCCTCATAGGTGCTTGCTAGCAGCACTTGCCCCAACAGTCTGTTAAGGCTATATGGGGGATATTTGTCTTAGTAGCGTAGCGGTTAGCCCACCCCCCTCCCGCTGTGCTACAAAGCCGACGACCCGAGATCAATTGCTGTTCACAACCAATACGAGCCAGTCTTTTGAGCCTCCCCTAGGTCGACTCAGCCATAAAGGAGTACCTGGTGAGGTGTGTAAACATCAGCACTCAGGAGGCCACCCACCCCCTCGTGTGCTGTGATGGCCTTCATAGGTGCTGCTCGCTAACATCACTTGTCCCCCAACAATATATCCATACACTTCACAAAATAGCCATTCGGTGGCGACCTTCTGGAGAATTTTTATCTTAAAAAAATAGAACAGCGTCTCCTTCGGATACCTGCATCTCCACGCAAAACATCAAAGTATTTTGTTTCACTTCCACTTGGCCACGCGGCTTTCTGTTCGTACAACTTAGCGACGTCGGGTCAATGCATGCAAATTCGGGAGTGGTTTCAACATTCACTGTGTCATCGACAGAATCGGCCTCGTCTCAACCAATGTTGGTGAACTGCCAATTATTTACAGGCAAGGACCCTTTTCTGAAAAAGGAAACAGTCTTAGTTCAGTGCAAAACCTCTGTAATACACGAAAGTTTATGGAAGGCGGTCATAACTAAATAAAAAAAAACTATAACAGCTCAATCTCCTTATTTAACTCCACACACCATCCATCTTTGTCAGCGTATTGTCCGGCACGATATCCGACGTTTTGTTCCACGTTCTGCGACCTTTTTTGAACCTCAAACCTCCCAGCACGTGCAAGAAAAACGTTGGACGTTGTGCCGAACGAAACACGCATTTACCGCGCGAGCGCCGGGGGAAGTGGCGGCATCAGTGGCTGGCGATCTCCGGCCCCATCGCCTCCATTTGAATCCCAATCTGTGGGCCTACTATGAGTAGGAAGAGAAATATGCGAACCGGTCCTTGTGGGGCCTTCCGACCAACTCATCCCAAGCCCGAACGTCATGTGATGCGCGGCGTTGCGTGTGTACCGGTGTCGGGAGAGCCGAAGGGGGTCTGGCGCACGCCGACCTACGAGCCGAAGCAATCACCGGAGCTGCATCTTTGCCCTTCCGTTTCCCAGGTACCCACTCGGGCCCAGGCCTGGTCTTCCCGGACCTGCTGGAGCCCGAGTCGATGGCGATGGACAGCGATGAGCTGGTGGCGAGCCTGAGCGACTCCCTCGTGCCCGAGATCTTGGGCGACGTCGAGGCCGTCCTGGGATCGGTGGCCTCCCACGGCAACCGAGACAGCCTCATCACCTGGCTGTGACGGTGACGGTGAGGGGAGACAGCCTCATCACCTGGCTGTGACGGTGACGGTGCGAGGAGACGCAAACCGCCGAGCGACGGTGATAACAAAAACAAAAAGCTCTACCTTGTGGTTATTTTTGGGGGGGTTTGTAGCCTGCCAGAAGATAAAGATGAAGAACCCTGCTCCAAACCAACAACAACAACAACCTAAATTGGTGGGGACAACACACGTGTTTGTGTGTGTGAGCACAAGGGGTAAAAAAAAAAAATCTGGATGTTGATTCGATTCTGAGGCGTGTGCGAGCTAGATCTGAAAGTGACTGCAAACCTTTAGCAATGGAATTGAAATGTCGTTTTTTCTTTGTCAACCACCGTTAACGGATATGCATGAATTGCTTTTGACGGGGACTTCATAAGCCACCCTCTATAAACGAAACAAATAACAGAGGGACAACCAGCCGGGATGTTTTTATTCGTCCTCTACGTGTTCAGGCAGCAAGTAAACATTAATCGATTCTTACGCTCACGAAGCATGCATAAAATAATGCTCTTAGGTGCACATTATTCCAATTTTATACAAATTATATGGCAAACGTTGCCTGTTACTGAATCGCCCGGAGTTCGTTTAGTCTCATGACTAAACGGAAGATAAGCATGCGTTGGGCCTGGATGATGCTCGGATGAGTGACCACCACGCATCAACCATGTGTTGTGAGCAGGTGGCACTGCAGCAAAACTATATCGTTGTGGTGTACTTCTATGCCACCCTGTCTATGCTCCCAGCCCTCTGGCCAGCACGAAGTAAGGTCAAATAACTCCCACGACCTCCACGGCATGGGGAGACCATGCACACGGTCGCACGGCATTTGCTAATGCCACCTTTAGGCTGATGCAGAGGTCGCAAACGGGTTTTGATCTCTTACCCGTACCCGGCCGCACCAGGGTCGAAAACGGGTACCCGTACCCTACCCGATACCCGGCTACCCGTACCCGGCCGGGTATCGGGTAGGGTACGAGTACGGGTACTCGATTGCGACCTCTGGGATGAAGCCATGTTGCAGGCGCGGGTGGGTTGATTCTAAGAACTTGAATTGTGAGAAGAGACAAGACGTTGGGAAATGAGTGACAAACGGTTACTCACCAGTGACTCACGGCCTACCCGCACCCATACCCGGCCGCACCAGGGTCGCAAACGGGTACCCGTACCCGGCCGGGTACGGGTAGCCAGGTATTGGGTAGGGTACGGGTATCGGATACCCGGTTGCGACCTCTGGGCTGATAGGGCGAACAAGAGTTTTGTGAAGAGAGCGAGGGCAGAGCGAAGGTGAAGCGGTACGAACGAGGAAGTGTAAAGGATGCGACAAGAACAGCAGCGAATGATTATCGTAAGCTCGTAAGCAACAGCAACCCAACCCTCCCCCCCCCCCCAACATACGACGACCGTAAATTTCGATTTAAAGCTTTCGTGACTGCAGGGATTCATCTTCTTGGTTCTTTCGGTATTTTATTACTTCCCTTCTACGTGACTTTACCGAAAGAGCCAAGAAGATACGACGACCGTGTTGGTGAAATCTCGGAGGACGGTGAAGTTCAAGGGTTACATGCCGACAACATAAAATGTAATGGAGATCGTGGCCGTTGCGGTTGTATAATTGTTGCCAGAGGAGTGTCAAACTATCGTTGTAAGTGCATTATACATGGCGATCCGTTTGTAGATACTCTACCAATATAATAGGAAGACTTTACTGAAAAAACAGCATTCTATTCGAAGGTCTCTCTGTGCATTCCACCAATAACATCGCAGATAATAATAATAGATAATAAGGAAACATTTTAACACTCTGCTTAAGACACTATGTCCAACATTGTCACAGTGATTTGCTTACGAACCTATGTCAGTGGAGCTATGTGAGTGGGGCTATGTCACGGGGACTATGTCAGGCGAACGTGTGGGCTAACCCAATTGTTCATCCTCGACCAATCCGACACACAGACGTCGCTTGTAACCAATCACGTCTGGCACGAGACCAGGTTGAATAGACATCAGTGGGGTCTCTATGAATGGATCACCCTGTGATTATAATTGCAGTAAGCCTGTCCAACAGCCATACTCCGGCTTTCTCACTGACCTTACGACCTGTTGTGCTTGACACTTACGTGTGGTGATAGGGAAAGCTTACAGGCAGGGTATAAGAGCTAGCGCTATACATACGCGCACGTGTGTGTGTGTGTAAGCTGTCAGCGGTTATTAGCGCTGCGCTACGAACCCGGCAACGCGAGTTCGATGCCTGCTCATGGCCAACACTGGTGATGATGATCTGAACCGTTCCTGGGCCTCTCCTAGATCGACTCAAATGAGTGCCTGGTGCGGTGTGTAGTAAACATCGCCACTAGGGAGACAAATGCGGCCAGGCGTGGTGCTGGCCACCCACCCCCTCGTGTGCTGTGCCGGCCTTCATAGGTGCTCGCTAAATGCTCTCGCCCCAAAAGTCTGTGAAGGCTATACGAGGGAGTGTTGTGTGTTGTGTAAGCCGGCGCTGGATTTGAATGAGGCTACAGGTGTTTGGCTTTCTCAGAATCCTGCATTTTAAATCCATGAGCAATCCATATTCGTTAACATTGATCATATGTGTAATCCTCAGAGAAGTACAAAGCAAGGCAGCAGAGTAGCAATACAGACCTGTATATGTTTTACTTGAATTAGATGCCTTAGAACTGCTGTGCTTTATTACCGTAATTTATATCATCGTTATCTTCATTATATCCATCGTGACAGTCAACATCATTCTCATCCCTTGGATGACAATTCAATACATCGCTAACGGCAGTGCATAAGTGGCAATGATTACCACGGAAAGTATCGGTGAATCCAAAGACTACGTTTCTTGCGGGTTCTGCTTTGCGATGGTTGGTCAATTCCCTTTGTTAGAGTCCTACTACGGCGTTCGTGGTTGTGTCGTATCGCTCTCTCGGGTTTGCACTGTGCGCGTTTTGTCCGGCACAATATCCGACGCCTCTCTGGCACGTGCTGGGAGCTTTTAAGAAGGTCCCAGAACGTGGGGCAAAACGTCGGACAACACGCTGTACAAGATGGATGGTGTGTGCGTTAAATAGGGAGATTGAGACGTTATACGCCTTTTTGAATAACTGCTTTTCATTGCATTTTTAAACACATTTTCTCAAACTATATTTGACGAATATTTTCGCGGTGCATTCACGGCGCGGCAACATTAACGCACGCACACTCTTTTGTTGTTTGTAATATCATCCGCCTTATTTTTTAAACCTTCCATTACATTGACACGTAAATGCAGAACCGTGGACGGAGGCTGTGCCGTTAGTAAAGCCACGGAAACCCTTCTGCCATATCACATCTGGACAGAATATCAAAGCGCCTGCTGAGCCGCAGCGGCGCAACATCGCCACGATTTGGTGTCGGCGGACCATTTTTCATTGTCCGTGGCGTGCGCCGTCCTCTCCGGAGGACATTGGCGATGTGAACACGGGAAAGTCGCACGACCGCCCAAGGATCACCGATCAGAAAGCGAGCGTGGCGTAATTTGCGGGTTGATCCGCCGTGTCGATTCATCGCCGATCGAGCCACGGATCGAGTAATGACATGACACTAGCATCCCCACCCACCCATCCCCCTTCATTTGATTGACTAACATCTCAGTTCACTTTTTGTTGTTACCACAGCGCCACATTTTTTTCTGTACGACATAAGGGAACCCGCATTGGCTGCGTCGTTGAAGGCCGCACATACGACCGCGGTTAAGGCGCACTCGGCCTCAACGGCAAAGGCGAAGCCCTGCATTTGCTTGCTCTCGCCACCGCTGGGGAAAAGGATCTCCACTAGACCATCCCACCCCCTCCCCCGCGCCTTTAGAGGGCATTTGGCCTACTCTTCCACGTTGGCTAGACTTCTTTAAAGAGTTGGGAGTACCCACCATAAACGGTCGGCCTGCACGGTTACAAAGTGCACAATTCATTGCATGCCTGCTTGACGTATCGTAGGTTTTATATATATTAGATGGAAAAGACGAGTATCTGTAAAATAATGATTTCTTCCATGAGCCTATTTATTGGCTTTTTGGATCAATATTATCCCAGAAGCATTTGTTCAAGCGGGCAAAGTCAACAAGTAGCTGCTTAGAATCATCGATGAAGAGAGCCCACAGGCTGAGGGAGCGAATCCTCATTGTATGTTGTTGAAATGATATAAATGTCATGATGGTTGCACATTATGGTGTTGAATATTTTTGGGATTCACTCATGAATATGTACACGTAACAAAAGCATCCTTTGCGTTAAATTAATATAAAAAAGTGCAAAATACAGGTATACATTTTAAAAGATCAAACTGACAACACTTTAAAATGTATTTTCTTTATTCGTCGGATTATTATTTAAACCAATTTATTGTTTTCACGCATTTTTAATCCACGAACACAAAAAACTAAAAACGTCGGTCGAGTGTAAAGGATAATACGATACTTTTATTGAGTGGAATAGATTTCTATTTTATGTTATATATAAACATAATTAGTATACTGTACCCACACACGTGTTTACACTCTCACACACATAAACACATACGTACGTACACACAGGCGTAGAAAATATTAGATGTTTTGTTATTTTTATCCTTGTTGACTGGTTGGTCAGAGAAGACGCAGAGGTGCTGGGAATAACTAAGAACATACGGAGTAACCTGTGCCAAATGAACATTAATTTCACGACTGTTACATTGATGATCAAAAGTCAAAGCAGCCTCGTTAGGCACACGAGCCCGAGTTGGTTTTCATCTCTGTTGGCAGCCTTCGCTGAAATTCCACATTTCTATGGTGGGTGCCAAGTCATTCGTGAGAACAATCACTGCCGACTTCCCACAAAAGTGGCACTCAAATTTAATTGACTCCAGAGGAATGATGGTTATGGGCTGAGAATTGAACTCGAACAACCACAGGGCCACCTGCCCAGCTGTTATCGGAAAATTGCTCTTAAAATGCAATTGTCTCTACGTTTGTATAAATTTGTAGCAACAAAAAAAACATGGTGCTAGGCATTGATAGCTTGAAATCTAGTTCCTGTCAATCAGAGATGCTAACAAAAAAAGTCGCTGTCACCATCTTTACTCTCTGTTAGGGTTGCCACCTCTGAGGTACGGACACTTGGGATGTATCGTGGGAATATGACTATCTCGCGATGTATCGTATGTAGTTTGTATGTTGAACTTCTTTAGTACCGTACGTAGCCAGCCGTGCTCACTAGATGTGCGTGGGGAAGGACAACAAACTAAACACAAAAAACGGTTCTAAAGAAATTAGTTTTCAATATCGTTTTAAAAGTGTCATAGCTCCAGTGGCTTCCTTATATGGGAAAGAAGATCGTTCCAGACGGCCGCAGTAGCGCACGCTACCGGAACAGGGCAGAACTGCATGTAAATGCGTTGTCTTGAGTGTTAAATTGTTTCGTAATGGACATAAACCCGGACTTTTAAAGTCCCAGGAAGAGGGACAGATTTCCCAAGACAGCATCTGCATCAGCAGGAGCATGATCCTGGGATGAACCCAGAACAGGTGGCGACCCTCTTCGCTAACGGGGAGATTTGGTCTCAGGAGTTTTGGGAATTATATATATTACCACTTACGTGATAATCAGAGTTTCATCATGAGCTGATATGGATTTTTTTTGTATCGATGCCAAATTTGTTGCATATTCTTTTTTACTGACCGTGGTTTGATAACGATTTAATACAAAGCATTGTGAGACGAGTTGTAATGCATCGTTTAAATGAATGAAAAGCAAACAGCTGATATAGCATTCTGTGTACCCTATTTTCCTATAATGCTTTAACAAAAATGTGTTGGTATGATTTGCAGTTGTATGAGCATATGAACCAAGAATATGTGAGCATCTGGTGCCCAGAAATTGTTTTATTTACATGCAGAACACTTAGAAATTTGTGTATTCAAAAGTATTCTGATCAAAGCTTTGCTGATGGATTTGTCGTGGTAAGTCAGTTTTGTTTTGAGTTGTACTTAAAAAAAGCTTTGCTTTGAAAGAAAGTATTACTACCGAGATCTGCATGATTTCACATTACTCGTGGGGTGATCATTGTTCGAACATATTCTGTTCATTGATGGGAAAATTAGAGAACATGTATGACAGCTTGAGTTTCCAACTCAGCTTGATGTGTTGTTATATTAAAAAAATATATCCATTTAAAAAAAAAGTTTTTAATGAAAGTAATTTATTTTTTACAAAACTTCCGTTCACAAGCCAGTTTTAATGCCTCATGTCCTGTGTGCGATGAACTGGGCGAACACCACAACGCAAAACGAAGTGATGTTTGGTCAAAATAAGTGCCTAAACGGTTCATAAATATGCAAGGCACGTCTTCAGATGCATGCGAGCTCGTTGAAATCGATCATGAATGTCACGTGTGTACGGTAAAGGTGCAGCCCTGCAATTTCCCGCTCACACCACTGCTGACGGAAGGGCCTCCAATAGAGGGAGCTCTAGAGAAGCGCTCTTCAAAGGGTACTTTGGTTTGCTCTTCCACACTGGCGAGACGTTTAGGAACAGGCAGGAGTAGCCACATTTTGCTCCCCCGATCGACTAACGTGAACTCAGTTATAACGCTGTGCGGATAGAGGCGGTGGAAGGGGATTTAAAAAACATGTTTTAACTGCCGCTCCTGGAGCTCTGGATTGTAAATCCAGTTTGCTCACCGTCACACCGTGGGACGCATCCTTGGCGTAATGGTTCGGCGCGTGTTGCCCAGGAAATGTTGCTGTGCCTTTCTTTTTGTAACCCTCCCACAAACCCAAAGTAGAAATATATCTTCGTAGTAACTAGTCCGTTTGTACAAGGTGGATCTGACCTTTAAGATTGAGGCTTTTTGTTTTTATATACAAAAAAAGGCATGAAGATCACGTTCATGGAGATGCATGCTTCGAGTTACATTTAGAGACATTAAATTGGAATACGTGGGATTCGAAAGCATGCGCAGATATGTGTATGCACGTCTAGCTTCTTTCGCACCGTACATAACCAAAACGGTGCTAATTAGCCAACCGTGCAAATAACATCATCCAAACTGTTGCGAAAGCAAGCGGTCTCGAGCAGAACGCATCGCTAGAAGGGATTGATATCCAATGGCAAGATGTCACGAGTGGCAGCAAAGAAATTGAATGTATGTGAGAGGACAGTCCCCGAGGAGATGGAGCTATTAAGTCAGCCCGTACGCAGGTGCCAGGTGAATTAGCGCATAGCAGGTTGAGGAGATATGGTGGGGGCCTTTGGGAAGCGTGGTTTGATGGTGGTCGTTGATAATGTACGTTATGCGATCTTTTCGTTTTGAAACTGTCTTCCATTAAAGCAGTCGAGAACGTCTCAGGACAGCGCCTGTCTTTAGCGAGGGAGATCTGTGGGGGAAAAAAAAAACAGTGATGAACATAACTTTCACTTGAACTTCTTTCGCACCGTACGTAGCCAACAGCGCTAATCGGAGGTGCATACTCACGGGGTGAGCTAAGGGCACAAAGGCTAGAAACATCGAGAAGTAGGATGTGTGTTTCTTACTCTCTCAAAGTCAAAAGTTTGTTTTTGCTGAACTGAGTAATCTCTCATTTGGTGACCTTGAGCCTGGGTGGAAATTCCACATTAATCATAGGATGACCACTGCCAACTACCTTCAAAGTGGTACTGATTTTATAGCCCCCCAACTCCAATTAATCTGTAATCTCCAATACAAGCGGAGTGCTGCAAGCTCACAGCGCCACCGTAGACATGCAGTCACGGAGAGAAGGACTCACGTTTCGATTTAAAGCTTTCGTGACTGCAGGGATTCATCTTCTTGGCTCTTTCGGTAAAGTCACGTAGAACGAAAATAATAAAATAATACAAATAAAACATAATGAAATAATTCTCACGACGTTTCGGCCAAAACGCAAGCAGCCGTCCTCAGGTGAAGAACAGGTCTGTCGAGAAGGCAGAGTCTGAATGAAACGTCATGAGAATGATTTTATTATGTTTTATTTTTATTATTTTATTATTCTCCTTCTACGTGACTTTACCGAAAGAACCAAGAAGATAAAGAAGGACTCACGTGTTTTGTGGATTATGATAAAAATAAAACCCAGATGAAAATCTGAAAATGTGTTTTACTTGAAGGACATGCACAGACATGCTGCAGAAATTCCGAATGATCGAGGCATCGTCCCACGATAGAGGCATTTAAGTTTCTGTCGATACATCTCGCAATCAGGTTTTCAAAATTTGTTCCAACAAATGATCTCGCCTCTTTCATGATCTCCATAGTTTTGGCGCTTTCCCGTTCATTTTTTTCACACTCTGAAGGGCTGTGCTGACTCCGATCAATTCTGACATCTAGAACTTCCTTAGAGCATTTTTTTTAATTCCTGGGACACATGACATTTGCTGCGGTCGAAATACAAATATCTCTCATGCTGCAGGGATACTTTTTTTCCAAAGAGCTCCCATTTATAAATTGCCAATTGTCAACCTCTGCGATGACTTCACGCTCCTATTGCTTGCTATTTTTCCGTCAATCACGTTTGTGTTGGTTTATCTGATTTCTTTTCTCGTTCTTTTGTTTGGCTACTCAATCATCAATGTCTTCCCTCTTCCTAAACTTGCACAGTGTCAGATTGTGTGTCCTGGATTTGCATGTTAACCTCTCACTTTAAACGCACTATCCCATCATTATGGTAGTCACGCATTATTTAAAATGGTAACATCCATTTCATACGTCTGTTCCTGGAGACCTTTGGATATGAAGGTATTCATTATTTCCGTGCCCTTGCTGGCTGCAAACTTATCATCAACACATCACTCATTTCAGACTCGGTCGCCTCTAATCACAAGCGCGTGTGTGGCATTGTTCACCAAGATCATTGGGAATGATTTGCAGAAGCAAGCAGAGGTGCATGCCCGGAATTGCAGAGGCAGATTAAGGAGCACGTGGATCAGAGGACATAGGCAAGTGAGAGACATCGTGTTGACTGTTAACAGAAGCGGGCTTGGACAGGACGTGTCGTCGTTAGACGGGATGACGCGCCCGAAAACACGTCCGCCGCGGAGACGGAATGATGAAATTAGCCGATAAGCAGGAAGCCGGGATGGATTGTTGCGTCCCGTCAGGAATGGCGATGGCTTGGGGAGCAGCTGATGGTTCACGGCTGATGACAAATACCGCAGAGCTTTTCGTTATTAATTCAAAACCCGAAAAAATTGGATACTAAATTTAAAAATGTACAGAAAATAAATTGTTAAGAAAGTATGTGTATGACACTAAGGGCACATCACAATCGCACAAAAATTCCACGAGGAATTGAATATATAAATGAAAAGATGGGGATTAAAACTTTAATGATGAGATATTTGCAACTGAGACCGCATTTCAGACTTTTCTGCAAATGTACTCGTTATCAAATGAGACAATTTTAATCACACTTGGGAAATTAATAGTAATACAAATGAAAAAGCGTGCGGCACTGACGATATATATTCGTGTTCTATTTTGACTGCCCTACATGTGTTAAAAGTATCAAGGCAGATCGACCCTGGGCTCCAATGTTAATTTACAACAACAAAAAAACAACAAAAATGTTAGCGGAAATTAGAACCGCACACGCCGCTCGAAAATCTAAACGACTTCCACAATTACTATCGTAATTGAACCCGGTTCTGATTAGGCAGGTGCTGTGAAATGGCAAAGAAATGTGATGTATTGGGGGTTGGTTGATTGCTTGAGGATGCGACTGCTGCAGTGGCTGTTATGAATAATCCGAGCTTCCATGCATTGTATCTTAACAATGATTGTTACAAACGAATTCCAGTTGGACTCATCCATTGTGTTTACTCGTGCATATTTAAACTCATTGCTGTTACGGTCAACATTTGAGGTTTCAAAAGAAAAGAAAAATATATTTTGACTTATTTGTGGCCTTTTTTCTTTTATATTTTGGTAAATAAAAATACGTGTTTTATCACTCAATTATGGTATGCTCGTTGCTAGAATACTAACAACAACAAAAAAACATGCCTCATTTTTTACACTTTGAAGAAATTATTTTTTAAAAAGTAGATTGTTTTTGTTGTTTATTTTACAACTACCGTTGTGCCTAAACGTTTTATTGATGTAACATGCAGGGCTTAAGCTGTTTGTGGTTTTTTTTAGGCAGTCCAACTGAAACCGTGTTCATGGAATTTCGCATATCAATGCACTGTGATGTCATTTGTTCTTCAGTTATTTGCGTTTAAAACACTTCTTCTTTGTAAATCCTTGATTTAAAAACTGCAATTGCAGTTGCCTCATGTTGTTGTGTGTTCAGCTGCATAAAAAAAGCAAATAAACCGAATTGTTATTACACCAAAAGTGATTAAATTACGTGACTTTTATTCGATACTTGTGTGAATTATTGTTTCTGTACATTGGCAGTTTCTGCTTTATTAAAGGGAACTGATCGGTTACTCATTGGCAGGCCACTTAACCCTTTCCCATTCCGATGACGTAGGCATCGCAATAGAATCAGTACCGAGGCTCCCACAAGGCAATGCGGGAGGGCATGTGGCACAGTTTGGCACCAGCTGTCCTCGAGTGCGGTCGTGTCGTTACAGTTTTCTGCGGTGAGTACAATCTATATATATAAAATCGTTCATGTCTGTCTGTCTGTGTGTGTGTGTGTGGACTTTGGCCCATACGCACTTTCATTGGACGGCGGTTGCCCCTGGCAACGGCTAGCCACGCCTTCGCCGCTTTCATTGGACCTGGCAACGGCTAGCCACGCCTTCGCCAAGGGCTGCAGTTTCATTGGACGGCGGTTGCCCCTGCCAACGGCTAGCCACGCCTTCGCCACTTTCATAAGCTCCGTATTTAATTAAATAATAGCCATTACACAGTATTGTTGGAGCGCTAGGGGGGGGGGGGGAAGGAACGCCACCCGTACCCTGCCTCTTCCAAGCCGACAATTTTAGGCGAGGCCGCAGGCTTTGCACGCTACTAGGCCTCGACACCCACCACGCCACTCTGAGGTAAATTCATCAAAGTTTTTCCTACTCTTCACTACACCCCCACCACAATGTGTGCTATTAATATTACTTTTAAACCCAACGCGCCAACAATCGATTACTTTAATGTTCACTGTACAAATACTCATTAAGCTGGGTGAGCGTACTGCCAGTCTATCATGTACACTGTAGCCTGCTTATTAAGCTCGGTGAGCGTACTGCCACTCTATCATGTACACTCTAGCCTGCTTATGAAGCTGAGTGCGTGTACTGGCAGTCTATAATGTGGACTCTTGCCTGGTTATTATAATCGATTCTTTATATGTTCTTTGTACAAACAGTCATTAAGCTGCTTGAGCGACCCCAGTTCGATTCCAACTCACGCCCACCACCGCTGACGATTATTTGAAACGGACCTGGCCCTCCCCTAGGTCCACTCAGCCTCAAAAGCGTAACTGCTGTCGTGTGTGAACATCGTCACTGGGGAGACAAAGGCGGCGGGGCATCGTGGATCCAAGTCCCGGGCGAAGCCGGGTCATGTGTATGTGTGTTTGTGTTTATGTGTATGTCTGTGTGTCTCTATGTATGTGTGTATGTATGTGTATGTATGTGTTTGTGTGTATGTGTGTGTGTATGTATGTGGGTTTTTTTATGTCTTTATGTGTATGTCTGCGTGTCTCTATGTATGTGTGTATGTACGTGTGTGCATGTGTTTGTGTGTATGTATGTGTGTGTCTATGTATGTGTGTGTCTATGTATGTGTGTGTATGTGTGTGTATGTATGTGTGTTATATGTCTGTCTGTGTCTGCATGTATGTGTGTGTGTATTGTGTATGTGTTTGTGTGCATGTATGTGTGTGTTTGTGTGTATGTGTATGTCTGTGTGTATGTCTTTGTGTGTATGTGTGTGTATGTATGTGTGTGTATGTGTTTGTATGTGTTTGTGTGTTTACGCTCGCATTACACAAATGTGTTGCTGGTCTAAGGCGTTCTTCGCACAGCATTGCCGCTTTATTATTTCAGTCGTTTACTGCCTTACGCACCCTGAAAGTCGTGTGTGTCTGCAGCAAGCGCGTGTATGTGTACCTATGGACGCGCGCGCGTGTGTTGTGTAGGGGGAACGGTAGTGTAGTGCTTAGCGTGCTGTCTGTGTGTGTGTGTGTCTGTCTGTGTCTGTCTGTGTGTGTCTGCGTGTGTCTGTGTGTGTGTCTGTGTGTGTGCGTGTGTGGTGTGTGGGGAGCGGTAGTGTAGTGCTTAGCGTGCTGTCTGTGTGTCTGTGTGTGTGTCTGTCTGTGTCTGTCTGTGTGTGTCTGCGTGTGTCTGTGTGTGTGTCTGTGCGTGTGTGGTGTGTGAGGAGCGGTGGGTGTAGTGCTTAACGCTACGCTGCGCTAACAACCCGGCGAACCCAGTTCCATTCCCGCTCACGGCCACCACCGGTGACGATTATTTGAACCTCCCCTAGGTCCACTCAGCCTCAAACGAGTAACTGGTGTGGCGTATTAACATCAGCACTTGGGAGACAAAGGCGGCTGGGCGTGGTAGATCCAAGTCCCCGGCGAAGCCGGGTCATGTGTATGTGTTTATGTGTATGTCTGTGTGTCTGTATGCATGTGTGTATGTATGTGTGTGTATGTGTTTGTGTGTATGTCTGTGTGTGTATGTATGTCGGTTTTGCCGCCGTGGTGGATCCAAGTCCCGGGCGAAGCCGGGTCATGTGTATGTGTGTATGTGTTTATGTGTATGTCTGTGTGTCTGTATGCATGTGTGTATGTATGTGTGTGCATGTGTTTGTGTGTATGTATGTGTGTGTGTATGTATGTGGGTTTTTTTGTATGTGTTTATGTGTATGTCTGCGTGCCTGTATGTATGTGTGTATGTACGTCTGTGGATGTGTATGTGTGTGTCTATGTATGTGTGTGTATGTGTTTCTGTGTTTGTATGTGTGTGTATGTATGTGTGTTATGTGTCTGTCTGTGTGTCTGCATGTATGTGTGTGTGTATTGTGTATGTGTTCGTGTGTGTTTGTGTGTTTACGCTCGCATTACACAAATGTGTAATGCGGGTCTAAGGCGTTCCTTACACAGCATTGCCGCTTTATTATTTCAGTCGTTTACTGCCGTACGCACCCTGAAAGTCGTGTGTGTCTGCAGCAAGCGCGTGTATGTGTACCTATGGACGCGCGCGCGTGTGTTGTGTAGGGGGAACGGTAGTGTAGTGCTTAGCGTGCTGCCTGTGTCTGTGTGTGTGTGTCTGTGTGTGTGTCTGTGTGTGTGTCTGTGTGTGTGCGTGTGTGGTGTGTGAGGAGCGGTGGGTGTAGTGCTTAACGCTACGCTGCGCTACCAACACGGCAAACCCAGTTCGATTCCCGCTCACGGCCACCACCGGTGACGATTATTTGAACCTCCCCTAGGTCGACTCTGCCTCAAACGAGTAACTGCTGTAGCGTATTAACATCGCCACTGGGGAGACAAAGGCGGCCGGCCGTGGTAGATACAAGTCCCGGGCGAAGCCGGGTAGTACAGCTAGTGTCCTTTTAAAAAAACGGCGCTGAGCTTCTCCAAATAAGATTAACGCTGACCGCTTGCACGTCCGGCGGTGAACGAGACCCCACCCGGCAGCTTGCAGACATCTCAGAACGGGAAAAGAGTAAAGCACACATACAACGTCGCGTATCCCACTCGCTAGGGAACCGAGGAAGAGCAGGATAGTGAAACGCTCAAAGTTGTGCACATCAATGAACAAAAAAAATTATGGTGACACTATGCGTAAATACTGCACTGGACGTGAGCGGTCAATTGGTCAGGGTGGATATGCGATGGTCAGAGATGAGACGGTCAGAGATGCGACGTTCAGATATATGATGGTCAAATATGGGACTGTCAGATAAGTTCAATTCGTTGAAAAAAATATATATTTATAGTGTTACAGGTGATCCCCGTTGAGGTTCAGTAACAGCAAAGATACCAAACACACGGCCAACCTATTAAGATAAGTAAAGTCACGTAGGTAAAAAATCTAATAAAATAAATAAGTGATTTAATTGAGTTGTTTTCATTTATTTGATTTTTTACCTACGTGACTATACCGAAAAAAACAGAGTATGAATCCTTGCAGTCATGAAAGCTTCAAATCTATAAATAAGATAAGTAAATTGGGTCGAGTTGGCAGATGGCCAATTCTAAACGACAACTTTCTCAATGTAAAGTCTTTTATCCACCGTCTCTGTCCAATTAAGAATAATCTCTCCTTCAATGCACACATACACTGCCACAATTATTCTGTAAGTACTATTAATGTGTACATTTATGGCAAATCATTAGTGAGTATAGTTGAGCTCCGTTTGTAATTGTTTGTTCTTCGTAATTATCACGATGTCACAGTGGAATTTTTTTGTATTATTACAGATACAACTTAACAGCAAATTACTTTTAATAATCATGTAATTACAATACCGCCTGTCGAAACCTGCAGGAATGTAAATTTAACTGTTGCGTCTTATAAACACGCTCATTGCTGAGTACGCTAAACAAAGGGCTCATTGTGGTTGATGCAATTGTAATCATATTCTGGAATATATAATCGTATTGTAGAAACACAAACGCATATCTCAGTGATGTGTGGTGGTGAGTGCCTCTGCATGCCCGTGGTATTATTTTAGCGTTCCACGCCAATTATTACTTTTCATTAGCGGCATAGAAGTCACCGTTTGTGAGAACATCATTACCAGCAGTGGATTTCCATCAGCGTCTCGAGTGCCTTGTTAAACGTTTCATATCCTGCAGAAGGTTTACGTTTATTTTGTTTATAAATCGGTGCGGAAACTATACAGCACTTCAATTACGTGTTACTGGAGTTCACGATGATTGTTATGATTGAACAAGAATCACCACAGTAATTAACACGATGTGTATCATTACCAGTCGTGTCCTGCAAACTCAAAATAATGTTATCCATTTCAACTTTTTATTTAGTTCTGCACATTTTTGCATATAACATGAAGAAAAACATGACTAAAATAAACTAAAGTGCGCTGAAATAATCAAGGTTTCCGTGCTCGGCAAATGGTCTCAGCACAACGGGAAGGGACTGAACAAAAACGATGAAACTGAAAATTGTTGAACTCAACAATGTTGAACGTTACTAGGTAAGGCCCACGGAGCTATGTAGCTCTTTTTCAGAAGCGACGTTGCCACAAATGATAGCTCAACGAAGTGGCTTATCACGTGGACATTTACCAGAGGTCACGGAGAAAAATCCACTCGACCACGGGAAGAGAGACACGCAAACTCCAAATATATAGCAGGCGTCAGGGTCAGGGATCGATCCCACGGTCGCATGTATACCAGGCGCGGTAGTCAACATCTCGCCACCGCAGGGAGATGCCCTGGGTT